ACTCACTCCCCACGTCCCTCATCTAGACTCACCCCCTTGGGCTCAGGGAAATTCAGCACAAAACAAAAGCTTTCCAGAAAATACCAGTTGCAGCCACATTTGCATATCAGACGCCCAGATAGAGGGAGGTCTCAAGGTCAGACACTACTAAATTACGCTGCTAACTTCGCTGCACTTATTCTCCGAAGCTGTAAAACCTCCTCTAGCTCCCTGAGTGAATCTCCATTGATATGACCTCCCCCAACCCTCCATGTGTAAGAAGAACAGCCAGCGGTAAGGAACCTTACTAAGGCCTACAGTGTTTCTTTGGCGTTTTTATGAGCATCAAGGTTAGCATTCGACGTCTGAGCTTTAAGAACGCTGGCATTCGAAACCATAGGATTTGCAAAGTAACTTGAAGAGCAGGAAAGAGCCACAGCCAGCTTGCACGCACCTCGATTTCTCAGACGGCACCAGCAAATATTCCTCCAGGTGGAAGGCAGACAGGTTCAGCAGAGTGTGGCCCAAGTGGTTGGTCAGGTAGGGAGCCCCAGCACTTCTGTTGAGACACGTCTGTGAGGGTTTCCAGAGAGGTAAACAGAAACACATTTAGAAGGCACGCACGGGTGTACTGATGTTACTTTTCTTAAAATTTTTTTAATGTTTAATTTATTTTTGAGAGAGAGAAAGAGAGAGAGAGAGGCTGTGAGCAGGGGAGGGGCAGAGAGAGAGAGGGAGACACAGAATCCGAAGCAGGCTCCAGGCTCTGAGCTGTCAGCACAGAGCCCGACGAGAGCTCGACGAGAGCCTGACACGGGGCTCGAACTCACGAACTGCCTGTGAGATCATGAACTGAGCCGAAGTAGGACACTTAACCGACTAAAGCACCCAGGTGCCCCTGATGACGCTACTTTAAATGCGACATTCCCTAGCTCTCTCTTTTTAATAAATTATCCGGGGCCCTTCGTATCGTCTGATTTCTCAATCTACGAGTCACCTGCCTTTGAGAATCATACCCGAATCCCACCATGACCTTTGCCATCAATTACGCTCTGGAAATCTCCATCCTTTTCTGTACGAAAGTGTGGGTGGATTTGTAAGAACTCAAAAGGGATAAAATACTCTTGCTGAGGGGATGTGGCATTCGATGGACTTGAAAGAGTCAGAGGCAACTAGCTGAGGGACGGTCAGCGGGAGAATTCCAAAGGCACGTGTTTCTCGCACGAGAGCCTGAAGTAGAAACCAGATGGCCATCCAGCAGTCACGGGAGGCGGCGCCCGCTCAGAATCACGACAGTCACGGCATGGAGAGGCCCTGCCCTGCCACCGTGGGGATCCAGAATCTGCTTCCCAGGACGGTGCAGGAGCGATCACACACCAGGGAGCTAACACCACCAGCAACCCTCACGTCGGCCTCTAAAGCGTGCTCTCCTACCTGCACAGTGCAAATGGCCCCAGCCGCCCCCACTGGTGTTGGTTCAGACGTCCAGGAAAGAGCTGAGTAAGAGCTGGAGATAAACTTGAGACAGTGCTTTCAGGCTCTCGGTAGAAAGGATGGGGGGAGGACACCGAATGGAATAACTGTTATCAATTACTAGTCGGCCAACATTGGTGGTCTCGGGGCCGGGTTCACTAACACCCTTTACGGGTTCCCTGCCTCCAGCCTCCCTTCCAATCTGCCCACTGCATCTGGATGCATCTCTGCAGAAAGTGCCTTGCATTTAGAGGACTGCCTTGCAGGAAAATTCAAATTCCTCTCGAGAACCTGGGTCCGCTAGAAGATGTCCTCATTTTCTCTTTCTAACCCTATCCGTTTGGTTCTGTCAGAATAAGCCCCCTGCAGTAAGCTGAACGATGGCCCACGGAGGTCCCAGTCTCGGGAACCGGTGAAGGCCACCTTCCGTGGCAGAGTTGGTAAAGTAAGCATGTTGGCAAGGGGAGATTCTCCTGGGTCGTCAGGATGAGCCCTAATGCACTCACGTACGCCCTCGGAAGAGGGAGGTGGAGAGACGGGAGGAGGCAGCGTGGCCACAGAGGCCGAGGCTGGAGGAAGGCAGGCAGGAGCCAGGGAGTGAGGCAGCCGGCAGAGAGGGGAGGGCCGGGAGCAGACCCCCCAGCTTCTCCAGGGGGAGCGCCCTGATTTCAGCCCCGGGTATGGTTCCAGGCTGCACGAAGATGCAGTTCCTTACAGCAGCCACAGGAGGCGAACGCACCCCCCTACACACACCATCCGTGGGAAGCCATGCTCATTCCTCACGGCAAGTTTTTGGTCCTACTGTG